CACTGAATCCAAATCTATCAGGTGGCCATGATGTCTTGCTAGGAGCCAATCTTGGTCTGCATGTAGTGAGACAATTAATTGGTGTTAATCGCGATATTACACACTACCGATATGATGAGGAGCCTACAGGTCTTCCGCTTAGAAGATAATTTAAAAATCAATTTGTGAGAAGGGTATTCTCGTCTTTCATGACAAAAGGGTATTTTGGTAATCTCGCAGTACAATAAAATTTGCTAAGGTTGTTGTCTGTATTTAATTTGATATTAAAATTCAATACGTGAGATTATATTTAAATATATGTATGCATATATTTAAATGAATTATTATTATTAATTAAATGTTAATATATTATTATATATTAATTGATTTTAATTATAATAATAATTAATTAATTTAAAATACCAATTATATGGTGTTTGGTTGCAAAGGTGAACTAGGGTTAGAGCCCATGGCTATTCCTAAATGGAATAGGTTTTTAATTGTTGCACTATATAAGTGCAACTGAAAATTAATATATGTGAGATATTCATTCAAAAAAAAACCCTAGCCACCCAAACGGTTCTCTCTCTCTCACGTTTTCACTCCTTAGTGAAAGGAAAGATTTTTCTTTGTGTTCTTTCTTAATTCTTGAAGCCCTTGATTGTTCTAACAAAATAATCAAGGGTTCTGCGGATTGTTTTCATCTGGATTTCTGTGAGTGCGATCCTACATTGGTTCAATTAGTGAACAGTTTCGGTGAACAGTGTTGCGTTAGCAAAGTCAGAGATATTCGGAAGAGCCTCCAAACGTCGGTATGAACTAAATCCTTGTATGGATTTGTTTTTATATATATTTTATTTTACGTTTTAGTTTATGCATGTGAACAATACAATCTGTGCCTGGATTTTTGGGATATGTAAGTGATCTTCTTCGTTTTAATATTTCGTTTTTCCGCTGCGTGAACCTGATCACTTACTAACACCTTAGACTTAGCTATTTCGTAGGGGGGTTAGAAAATTAACCCGTTTCCCAAGTCTGAAATTTTAACAAATAAAACTTTTTTTTAAAAAAAAAAAATTGTTAAGATAAGTACCGAAAGTTGTTTTAAGAAACCTTGAACAAATGTAAAACGACCTAGTTTTGATATGACTTGCCTAAATCTCATTTAACCTTTCATAAAATGAGATAAAGAATATTTCCCTATCATAATTCATAAATATTAAATAAAATGGTTTTAATAAAAATATTCTCACATAATCCCTTGAGGTAAAAATTCAAATCATTATTACTCTCTTGTACTCATATTGAAAACCTTTAAGAATATTGTTCTTATTGTGTGTTTAAGCCTAGTTTAAGAGGCAATCAGTCACAAACTTTTATTCAAACATCATGTGGGTGAAATATTGTAAATCTAGAGGCGAAATTCTGTCGAACTATTGTAAGAGACGAAATCCTATCAAACTAGTGTAAAAGGCGCATTCCGATTCTGGCGAGACTTCAAGGAGGATGCCTTGAAGAAGTGAATGTAGGAGGCTTTTGGATATAGCTCTAAACCACTATAAATCTCTGAGCGTTTCTTCTCTCTCAACTCATTTATTTTTCCTTGCATATTTATTACTTGAACATCATTATCACTTGTTCTTATTCATTACTCATATTTACTGCTCTCTCATTTATTGCTCACCATTGTTTCATTAACATTCTCATTTATTATTTATCACTGTTGTTGATTTAAGTTCATAACTTGTGTGGTTGTTTCACATTTACCATATTGTCTATGCCCTTGGTTAAAATAATGTTGAGGCTATAGAGGTCTCTAAAATGACCACCATATATGATCATAAAATCCTCACTATTGAGATTTGAAACACTCGATACACTCGTCACAGTTCTACCATCTTAAAGACATATCAAGACATACAATTATGAATTACATGATATAGAAGAAACATGTCTTTTATTGATACAAAACATGATTTATAAAGAGGCAATATTATAATAATTGATTGGCTCTAGGACACCTACACTAAGAAGCTCGGCTCGATAACATCCCTATGGTCAACTACTTCACTTTCGAACAACGACAAAAGCGGAGTAAATTTGTCTTTTACTCGAAATTGCCCGTCTCCATGTAACGGCTCATTGACGATGTATCATGATTGGGGAGGAATTTGATACATTTCATACTAAATGGGGGTAAGTTGATTCAAAACTGTTGTACTTATCCCCCGCCTATCATTTTCAATATGAAATAAATTTCAATAAAGGAAAAAAAAAAAATTCTAAAGAAATTGCTTTAAGAACACGTGAAAGTGTTCTTCCGATGGTACATTTTATTTAGTCCCTTAAAATAAAGTTAAGCCTTAAGCACCACATAAACTTTTCGAATGTATCAAAAACCTTCCTCACTAGTCACTAGGGAGGTTTGATATTTATAGGAGGCTTATTGATACTTTCCAGAAATTGTTGGATCCCCTAGACTTAGCTATTTCTTAGGGGGGTGAGAAAACTAGCCCATTTCCTATGTCTGGAATTTTGAAAAATAGAACATTTTAAAAAAAAAAATTGTTAAGATAAGTACCGAAAGTTGTTTTAAGAAACCTTGAACAATTGTAAAACGACCTAGTTTTGAAATCACTTACCTTAATCTTATTTAACCTTTCATGAAATGTGATAAAGGATATTTCCCTATCATAATTCATAAATATTAAATAAAACGGTTTTAATAAATAGGGAAAATAAATGTTGCAATTTCACCTAAAACCAGAGCCTCTTTTTTTTTTTTTATAACCGGAGTATCCAAATCGGCTTGTACACATCTTAACTAATCGTTGAGATCTATTAAACATCTTACAAGTCCAATGGACCAAGTAAGTTACAAATGTGATAGGTGATCACTTTATAGAACTCGAATACAAGACCTCTAGGTAACCCATCCAAATGATTAAAGTTTTGTTGTCTGGCAGCAAGGCTAGTGGTTAACCAAAGACTTTCTAACAAAACAGAAAATCGTAAGATAAGTAAATATTAATCCTCCCAAAAATAAATTGGTCAAGAGGGTTTCTAATGAAAATAAAAGAACTTGGATGTTCTTTGGAATTTTTATTTGACAATTTAATTGATGGATTTTTTAAGATTTATTAGGGTTCTTCATTTTTTTTTCAAAAATAGCTTTCAATTAATATAAAAGAAAAAAAGATGATTTTAAAAAGTGAATATAAAATAAGATTCCACTATTACTCATCGAAAAAATGGGAGCTGCATCCTGCATATACAATTAATGGAGGATAAAATTATTTCCCCTACTGTAACTCATGTTGGGCCTATTTCCTTTGGACAAGAATCTTGGGAATTATTGACCGGATCCACTTAATTTGGAGACCAATGTTAAGTTGTTAACCAACTTTAGGCCTTCTTGGGCTTGCTCATTGTGATTCAAGTTGGACTTGGGTAATTCGGGCATAGGTAATTTTATTCCCAACACTTAATAGTATTATTATAAAAGAAGTAATACTATACATACAATATTTTTATACAATATTTCTTATGCAGTGGTAAAAGATGATTAAGTAAAAATTTATTTTTAATTTAAAATCAACTAATTATATGTTGCCACATCATATTGTATGAGAAATGTTGTATAAAAATATTATATATGTAGGATCATCTAAAAGAAGTATCTTTAGTATTATTTTCATTAGGCGCAAATGATGTTGTGGAGTATTTTATAAATTTGTATGCATACAACGCTCTCATAATAGAGTTTTGATTTATATGCAATTTTATTTTCATCTATCAAAACTATAAGGGTACGTTTGATTCAGGGAATATTTTGTTGCTGAAATGTAAGATTACTACAGAGATAGATTACCTTGAAGATTACGAAGGAATATTATATCAATATGCTTGATCAGATTAGTGGGTAAAATAATTAAGATGTTTGGTTGGGAAGAATAAAATATTATTGACAGAGGCTTTTACTGAATTACCCTTCCTTTTTAATATCATTATAATAACAATAACAATAATAATTATTATTATTATTTAAATAAATTTTAATCCCCTATATTTAAGAATTTAGCTAAAACACCCCAACAACAAAGTTTAAATTTTAACAAAATACCCGAGCCACCCAAGACTACTGCTAGCCACCACCGCCAGCCACCGGAATCAGTCACTAAAACAGTGCACAACCAGCGAAATTTGGCTGGCCGTGCGTCGTTTTGGTTGTTTTCGACCAGGTCGAAGGTCGAAAACAGCTAGATCACTATGGATCTGACCAAAAACGGCGAGATCCATGACAATTTAGCTATTTCCAGCCAGATCCACGCTAATCTGCCTGAAAATGTCAACAAAATCCAGATCGCAGTGGATCTGGTCGGAAACAGCCACAAACGGCTAGATCTATTATGGTCGTTTCTGGTTAGATCCACGACAATCTGTCATTTTTGGCCTTCGATCTAGCCGAAACAGTCAGATCGAAGTACGGCCAACCAGATCCCTCCAGTCATACGTCAATCTGACAACTATTTCCGATGGTCGGGGATGGTGGCTAGCGGCTGACGGTGGTCTTTGGTGGGTAGGGGTATTTTGTTAATTTTTAAACTTTTTGTAGTTGAGTTGTTTTAGCTAAATTCTCAAATATAAGGGGTTTGGGTTGATTTTTATTTGGTAGACATTTAAAGGTCATTGTGTCAAAAATGATATTTAATTAAGGGCAAAATAAATATAAAATTAAGATTACCCTAATAATCTTAAATATCACCCTTTGAGGTGGTAATCTGATTACCTCTTATTTTACCTATAAGAATTATTATTAATATTAAAAGATTATCGAAATCATTTAATACTTCACAACCAAACAAGAAAATATCCGAAAATAAAGATACATTAACAGACTTATCTTTCCACAGCCTTAACCAAACACACCCTAATCTAATTAAAATGAAAAATCAATGCACAATAAGAAAAAGCAAAGTGAAGTCTGCGCGTATTCCTCCGTTCGTTTTAACATGTAGAAGAGACCATTATATGATTTACATATTTTAATGCGCCCTGGCAGTCATCTAGAAGGATGACTTCTCAATTGTTCAACGATTACTGGCTTTGAGTTATGATTGACTGTATGGTAAAGATGTATTTATGATAATGGATATCTGATCTGGACAAGTGTTTGTAAATTTAAATGGTTACTTGTTTTTTGATTTGATGTTGTAAATGTAATGGTGAAAGTGAAACAAATAACAAGTATTGGAAAGAGGATGTGTATTAAGTGAAAGTAACAAGAATGAAGAGGATGTTTAAATGTAAGTGTGTGCTTAGTGGTAGAAAATGAAGAGAGTGATGTGGTGGTGTGGGTGTAGTAGAAAAGTAGTTTGTTTGTTTGATTGATTGATTGGTTTGTTGATAAGTTGTAGAGTTCAAAGGGAAAGGGGGGTTTAAAATGAGATGGAAATGAATGAGTTGGTTTGGTCGGTTTTGTGGGAAACTTCTGAGCGATCCCTATTCTCCAGCTCCTTCTGAATGACCGCTTTTCCCGCTCACCCGGTCGTGTAATGCAATCCTATATGTAAGCTCACACCTCTGCTTTCTCTTTTAACCCCTTTCCTTCATTTCCTTTCAACTTGTCGTTTGATTCCCTCATTTCCCTTCCTTTCTCCATTTTCACTTCACAACCTCACTTTACATTTCTTTTTCATTTTTTTTTTCTCTCTCTAAAGGTATATTTTTTTATCATCTCACCTTACCTACTTTAAATTTACCCATTGGGTTTTTTCCTTTCTTTTTTTATTTTTATTCTTTTAATTCTTCTTTCCTCCTATCATTTCTGATCAACCCCACTCCCCCTCTTTTGCTAATTTGTTTCACATGTTGTGTTTTTGGTTTCTGATCAACTGAGTCACTCTGAATGTGGAATGGATTTATGAGAGTCATAAGAAATATATTTTTTCGTTTTTGATTTTGATTTTGGTTTTTAATGAATAAGGTAGGATTTCAATTTTTTATGTGAATGTGAAAGAGGGGATTCAAGACAATTAGTTTTGGTTAATTTTGCAGGATGGGAAGGGTTAAGCTTAAAATAAAGAAGTTGGAGAATACAAATGGCCGTCAAGCGACCTATGCCAAAAGGAAACATGGCATCATGAAAAAAGCTAATGAGTTATCAATTCTGTGTGACATTGACATAATCCTTCTCATGTTCTCACCTACTGGCAAGCCTTCATTATGCAATGGAAAGCGGAGGTACTTTTTCTTCATCCTATTACCCCTTAAATAATAAAGGAAAAACAAAATGGGGCATAAATTTGAGATTTATGCTAATAACTAATGTCATTATATCTACCTTTTTTGTTTTATCTACTACTTCGATTGCAGTTCATATAATAGTAACAACGTTGCACTTAGCGCTGAGGCTAGTTTAGAATTTAGATAGCTTGTTACATGGTCATTTGAAAACCCTGTCTGTGATGAACATTGTATAGAGTTCCTAATATCTAGAAGAAATTATGAGCAAGAACAATACGAGTACCACCATAAGAAGTTGGCATTGAAGGTTGCCTTTTGTTAATTAGAGACACAGTTTATGGCTTAAAAAACTAAAAGGAAAGAACGAAGTTTGTGTAGTTTTTGGTAAATTGCCTTTTGTTTTGCTTGTAATTATGGTTTTCTTGTTATCATTGTCATTGAATGGGAAAAGGAGAAAACATTCATTTTTGCCAAGTAATTTTATTGCATCATTGCTTCTTTTTCTTTGGTACTCATTCCAGATAAGTTTTAGGTATTAAAAAACTTGTTCAATTACACGTATTAAAAATAATTCATTTTCAGGTTTCTTAGATTCTTCTTGTCCTGCTATACATAAATCAAATGAAAATTTGAACACAAATAAGAAAGGTTAGAGAGAACGAAAGGACGTCATAAAGACATGTTTAGATATTTCAATTAAACAAATTGACTTGATACATTGATGATGTAACAATAATCTCAAATCTTTGTCAGTTAATTGGCTATCAACCATAATAGTTCTTGGTAACACAACCTCTGGAAGAATTGAAGTGTAATCTAAGCTTACCTGTTAAAAAAATGTGATGCTAGTTTTCTTTTATTTGGCTACTCATAAGAACTTAAGTGCATGATCACAATAATTATAACCTCATCTCACTTAAGTGAGTGAGAACTTATTATCTAACCCATGTCAACCTTTGAGTTATTTTCTCAACATGCCATTAGATGTTTGGATGTTGTTTGGAGTATTGTGCTCTAGAATAATGCTCAAATTGTTCTTGACATTTATACTTGTCTTTTGCTAAATTAATGGTGATCTCTTTCTCACTATTGTTTTGCAAAAGCTTGCATGGCCGTTTGTGCAATATATTGGCGATTTGGTGTTTTCTTATCATTATGATTGTCACCATGTGTGGAACTAATCCTCAGTTGACAGAAGTGCTTCAATCAAACATAAAAGTCGTGCTTCTTGTGTGTTACATTTCATCAATGAAATCATCAGCTACTTTAGGAGTGACTTATAATCTTTGAGTCCTAGTAATGAACGGATTTTAGGCACCCCTACTTTATTCCACTCAAATAGCTTTGTTTCAGAGACAGTGAATTTCGAAGTATGCTTTTAGAGAGTGTTATTTTAATAAAAGGAAACTATTTTATTATTAGAGGTAAAATATAAATAAGAAGCTTTTTGCTACCTTGATCCTTATAAGGACATGATTATTATCCAGCAATACTTATGTTTTTGAGAAATAACATAGAAGAATTTTTGCCAATCATTTCTCTCTGATGTACAAAAAGTTTACAGGAAGATTTTATACACCTATTGAAAGTAGTTCAGCAATTAGATGGCTTTGCAAAATCCAGTGTGGGAAATTATTTGTTACCATGACTTTTGTGCATGTTCAAAAGAAGTCATCAGTGAAAATAACTTATGTAAATATTATGAATTAATAGGGGAAATTGAAGAGTTTGAGTGCTTTATCTTCTTTACTTTTAATTCTAAAAGGATAGAATATTTACTGCATTATGATCTTTTTTACTTTTTATGTGAGCTTAGTAGCATTGAAGAGGTCATCGCAAAATTTGCTCAACTAACCCCACAGGAACGGGCAAAACGGTACAATTTAATTTTCTCGCTTGAAAAACCATGTGATTGATTTTTAAATTTCTTATTTTAAATATGCATGTGGACTGACAAATATTTTTTCTTTGGATTGGGACAGGAAGTTGGAAAGTCTTGAAGTAAGTTTTTTCTTACAACCCATTTCCCTTCACTGATTTTTTTCTCTTTTCTTTTCATGGTTTGTCTAAGTGTATATAATTCCAGAAGTCTAATCTGTTAAATTACTTTATGTTTTTTCTTTGAGAGTCTAGGCACTGAGAAAGACTTTTAAGAAGTTGGACCATGATGTAAACATACAAGAATTTCTGGGTACAGGGTATGTGACAAATCTGTAATGTAATAGTGCCATGCTTTGCTCTGTTTAAAATTGGATTGACTTTTATTTTAAATCTGTGTAATGAGGCTTCTTGTTTTTTCTTTTTGTTTCAGTTCTCAAACAATAGAGGTATGCCTGTAACTTTGTTATTTTGAGCTTGTTTATGATCATCAAAGATTTCATGACGGTGACATATTTTATACTTTCCAAATTGCTTTGAGCAGGACCTGACGAATCAAATGAGGTTATTGCAAACTCAAATTTCTGAAATACATAGGCGTCTGAGGTGATTTACCTGAAATGGGGTTGTCATGGTTTCCATTTTATGCACCTATATTGTAATTCAAGCAACTCAATGGTCAGTTGTAAACTGTGCTAATTGTATATCATATTGAATTCCACAGCTATTGGACTAACCCAGAGAAGATCAACAGTGTAGAACATTTGGGTCAAATGGAAAATTCGATCAGGGAATCGCTTAACCAAATCCGTTTGCAGAAGGTATGCCCTATCATGACTGTGGTGGGAGCTATCTAATGAGGTTCATGTTTCAATTTTCTTTTATGTTTTTATAGGCTCACTAAGACAATAGGTGATTGAAACTAGATTGGATTAGGATCTGCACTTGGACACCGTGCATGAGATGTAGCAAGTGGATGATTTAGTCTTACAATAATATCAAGTACAGTTATTAATAAGAACTTATATTTGAAGTATAAGGTTCTTATCTTCAATGATGAAAGGGCGGAGCCCAATGAGGCTGGAGATATTGAAATGTTTTGATACCTACATTAAATTTTATTTGATTTTGATAGGATCTTAAAAAGAAAATAATAATAATTAAGGAAGAATGTACTCCCAACCTCAAAGGTGTAAGATGGCTAAATTTTTCTGAAGTATCTGAGAGGCAAAGAATGGTCAGTTTTTACAGATATCTGAAGAATGAAAAAACTTCATAGCAGCATATAGATTTAGAAGTCTAATGGCTTTAATATCTTCTTTTTTTAAAATTTCTAAAGTTCATCACTGCCTAGTTCTTTTTTTTTTTTTTTTTTTTGTTTGTTTGTTTGTTTGTTTTTACCTGTAAAAAAAACTTTGTTACACTTACTCTGTTTACATTTCTTTGGCAGGAAAATTTAGGAAAGCAGCAGCTTATGTCATTAGAATGCACGGGTCAGGTAAAAAAATGCTTAACTTATCTGGGAATACTCTCTGATTAGTTCCTGTAGATGTTCATTTGAAAATGTTGTCTGAACTGATATAATCGTGCAGTTTCAAAATGGGTTGCATATCCCCTTCAGACTGGGTTCTGAGCAACAGCTCCAACCTCTCTCGTGGATTCCAAATAATGACAATAGACATATGGTTTTACCAGAGGATCCAAATTTGCTTTCGCATAGGTGAGTGGACCTGTTTAGAATTAGAGTATGCTTCAAATTGCAGAGGTTTCACTAAGGTTTGAGTTCAATGTTCTTTCTGTGATCTGTAAGATGAAAATATTGTCCCATAACTGAGAGAGAGAAATATAGAAGTATATGATGGAACTTATGTTTCGTATGAAGGATCTCAGAAACATGACATCAACGTCTTAGTCAGACATTACATTTGTTCCATTTTTATACAAATTTGTTAAATGAATTTATATTTTATCATTGTTTTCAACCCAGTTAGTTATTTTTCTTTATGTAGGGATGTGGAATGTTCTGGAAGTTCCTCTTTTGGGAGTTATTCTGGTTACTTTGGCACAAATAAAAGTTCAGAGATTTCTAATTCTGGGCAGGAAAGCAGCCTACTTAGCGAGTTAAGTGGAACTGCATCACTGAGGCTGCAACTGGGGGGGCAATGCTCCTACCTACCGTATAATGTCAATTTGCTGAATGATAAATTCCAACCAGTAGGAGAGATGAACATACAAGAAAACCCTGTCGATTATCATGTCAGTGGAAGCTTGGAAGCTCCTAGACCTGGGTATGACACACATGGTAGTTGGGCTTCCACATCTGGGCCTTGTGAAGTTAGCTTGTTTGATGGGCGCTTGTATTCTCAGGTACGCTTCCATTCTGTATACTCTGGGTTTTCTCAAGTGAATGTCCTCTTTTTCTGTACTCATTATATTGATAACTCATGAATTTATATGCTCTGTTAGCTTGATTAATTGCTTGGATTATGGGTGAATAAGAGAGAGATATGATAATTGAGCTATTTTGTTTGTTTAGTTATTCAGTTTTTCCAGTGGTAGCCAATGTCTTTTAATCTTCCTAAATTAACTATTCATTTCCTGCCAAATAATAAAGTTCTGTTAACCTTCTCAAGGTTGGTGCGAGCTGAAAAGCATTCAATTGCTAAGCGGATGATGGATTACTGATAGTAGTTGTTTACTTGATGCAAGAAATTCATCATACTTAATGGAGTATTTAAGGAATTTGAAGCTATCAATAATATGGTGCTAAAATACTAATTTTAGGACTTCTTGCCTGGGGATACTTCTATTCCAAATTTTCTGCATGAAGGCTGTTAATTCTGTTATGACCATTGTGATTGGAAGGCAAAAATGTTTTGGTGTTGAAGACTCACAATTTTTTTTTTCATTTTATTTATTTGATAATGCCCTTATTAGCCTAATGATCGTGAAGTCATAAGTTGAAGATTCATGGCTGTGAGACACACTACTATGTATATATTAGGCAGTCTTATTCTTGCTGTTCTAGTTGTTTCTTGAGTTAATGACATATTCCCACCCAAAAAAAGTTCTATTGACACCTTCCCACCCTTAAACTTTTAAAACACCCTCTTACTACCCAAATAATATGTTTCCCTCTGATTTGGGTGGGAAATATGGTGATTTACTAAAAAACCCTCTTCTTAGCCTCTTCCATTACTTCTCTTCTTAGCCTCATCCCTTGCCAGCAATTGCCGCCGACGTTGGGGAGCGCTGGCGACCAAAAAATATTGCAAATAAACATTCCTCAATTGTCTTTCAACCCAATAAACACAAAAATCGAACGAATCAATCCCAATGAATCCAATTAAAACTCGAAAAACCTTAGGGTGGGGGAGCTTCAATCGTCGACGATTGGTGAGCAGATGGGATCTGGGATGTTAGGGCTTTTGGAGAGGAAGATCCAGGGAATTGATTAGTGGTAGCAAGGACAATTTTCGGCAATGGAAACGATCAAAAATCGGCTTGGAAGTTGAAAGGTTGGGCGGTGCATGGCCAACGAGCAAGGGACGGTGATGGAGGTAAGGGTTTTGTAGAGTGGGTTGTGGGGAGTGTGATGGTGGTGTCTGGGGGAATTTATGGCAAAGAAATCAACCGGAATTCCGGCTTGAAGAGTTGGTCGTGCGAATGGAGGTGGTGGTGGGAAATGGTGAGTGATGACAGTAAATGGAGGCTTGGGCTTTATAGAGAAGGTGATGGGGATTCTGTGGGTGGTCTTGGAAGTGATTTTGAATGTCGGGATTGGTTGAAAAGAGGCAAAAACCGCCAATTGTGACGCTGCTAACATGCGCCATCTCTTGCTAACGTGCGCTGTTCTTCTCCGGCAGCCAATGATTGTTGACCATTCTGCCCTCGTTAATAATAGACTTTTGACTATTTTGCCCTTCCTGACAACAAAAATTACTAATAAAATTATGTTTTGGGTACTGAAATGGTATTTAAAAAGTGGGTGCGTATGAATTTATCAATGGGCTATTTTTTGGGTGGGAACATGTAGTTAACTCTTTTTTCTGTTTCTTTTTTTTTTGCCTTCTGTTTCCTTCGTGGCCCCATTTGTGCCCTTGGTGCTCTTCAATTTATCGTCTATTTAAGAAAAACAACTAATCATGCAATGAATTTGATTTCTGTTTAACCAAATATTTATTACACCCACCAATCCTGATCCTCGATAAATTTTATATTATAAGGAGCATATTTCTAAAATTATCTTAAGCATATTACTAACGTGGCTCTTGAAAAAGGATGTTTTGACATGCCTTCATAGTAGAAAAAGTTTCAAGTCACTGGCCACCATGAAACTTTCTGATTATATGATTTATTCTTCTTCACTTGGTGAGTGAAGGAGGAATCACGAACATGGTAAAAAATGAGTGGCAAAGCCTAGAATACTTGGATGGTTCGTTGAGCTCATATGAAATGACAAAACAGATGACATTTATTAGTTTCATTTTGGTCCTTCGGTGGAAATTCTTCTGCATATGCGACTGGAGTGATTAGACTGCCTATGGTAGGATCAGAACTTTTTGGGAGATAAGATTGAATCAGTTTATGCATATATAGAAGGATTTTTTTTTTGTTCTGAGATATCATGAATAGCTTAGCAATAGCAACTTGTTCAATGAGGCCACTTCCTTTGTCTTATGCAATCTTTGATTATGTTTTTGCAGCATCTCAATTGAGATTGAAAGAGGTTTACTATTCAATCATTGATGGAACTTGGTCTGCCTAAATTTCTCAAGCACCAAAGTAGGCCTGCTGATTTTGCAATGGTCTGTTTTAGCTGTTCAAAAGCATGAATCAGCCAGTGAAATATGTATAACATGATAACAAGTGACCTATTGATACTTGCTCGATTGAATGGTGCTGACATAGTTGAATGAGGCACCACATTTGTGATATCATATCATACGTGTAAAAGTTATATAACAGTAGGTTTTTGGGAGCTATTTTTGCTTCATTTTGGTGATGAGTTACTAAGCTGTAAATTAAATTCATATAATATTATATATCAATATTTGTAATCCAAAAACATTATAAGATTACTTTTGTAATCTTTGTTTAATTTTCAAGATTTCTTTGTTTGGTTTGCAAGTAATAAAATATTACAGTAATCTTTTGTTGTAAATAATGTTTGCTATTAATAATATATGAGGTAATTAGATTACCTTGTTAAGGAGTGTTATAAAAAATTATCGAGGTAATCTGATTTTTATATCTACTTTGTCCTTAATTAAATATCATTGCGAATACAATTGTCCTCAAGTTTTTACCAAATAACCATTAACCCAAACTCCTTACATTTGAGAATTGAGAATTTAGTTAAAACACTTCAGTCACAAAAAAGTTTAAAAGTTAATAAAATATAATTGACCACTCAAGACTACTACCGGCGGCAAACGCCATATCAACGTACAACCGACAGGATCTGATCGACAGTTTGTCGATCTGATTGTTTTCGGTCAGATCGAAAGTCGAAAACAGCCAGATCGCCATGGATCTGGCCAAAAACAACCAGATCAGGGCCAAAGATTTGGCCTTTTCATGGCCAGATCTGTGGCTGTTTTATGGTCATATCTTTGGTTATGAAATAGCCTTATCGGCGCACGACTGGCCAGATGGCTGGTCATGCTCCATTTCAACGACTGCCAATGACGTTGACAGTGGCTTGGGGTGGGTGGGGTGATTTTGCTAGATGGCTGGTCGTGCTCCATTTCAACGATTGCCAACGATGTTGAAAGTGGCTTGGGGTGGGTAGAGTGATTTTGCTATAAATTAAAGTTTTATATGACTGAGGTGTTTTAGTAAAATTTATAATGTAGGAGTTTAAAAAAAAATGATTCAAAAAATAGTATTATATTAATATTTAAAAAAAAAAAACAATTTAGTAATCTATATAACATAACCACCCATTTACCTTGCCACCAAACATATTAATATAACATACTCACCAATTTATTCTAACCTAATCAAATACATTTCGTTAAACATTCTCAATAACCTTTAAAGTAATATATCTTTCCAATTAGTATAACATTTCTAGTAATAGATATTACATGAATCAAACACACCCATAAAGACAAAGTTTGTTTCCCAACAGGGCAATTCTGTGTGTGCTTCTCTTAAGATAATTGGACTTTTTGGCTTGTCTCTACGTGCAATGTTGGTGGTTTTATTTTATCATGTCTTTGCACGATATAAGACCCCAATTTACGGAGAAAATGTGAATGGGCTGTGACCAATTGGGTAGTCTTTTCATTTTAGGGAAGTGAGGTTGAGGGCAAATGTCAATTCCAGATGGTGACTGAAGAATCTTGAACATCGTGAACTGAATTATCATAGGAAATGGTCAGGTCCAGGTATTATCTTCCAAAGCCCAGCCAACCAGGATTACAAATCAATAAGACTTCTTATAGCAGAAGATGAAGTGTTAGAGAAATTTGGTCATGAAATAATGTCCAGACAACAGCTCTTTAACGCCTTGACAACCCAACTACTAGGAAGTGACATTAGAAATTAAAATGGCATAAAACCTACAGCTCAGCTAGCATCTTGCTAATGAAATNAATTATTCACTTAATTAATCAAAACTTTAATATTAATATATTATAATATATTAAAGTTTTTAATATGGTGTAATTTGTATGTAGTAAGTATAATTGTATATTTATTTAATTATGTTATTCTAAAAATTTAACTTTTTTCTATTTTAAATTTTTTTATATGTAAAATAATAAAACCCCCCCATTATTCACATTTCACAAATATTTCATATTTTCATTGCAGTCCAGGTTCCAAACAGGTTCCAAAAATCGGTTCTTTTTCCAGGTTCCGGTTCCGGTTCCAGTTCCTCCACACATAAGAACCGGAACCGGAACCTACCCACACAGTGCCGGTTCCGGTTCCGGTTCTACCCTGTGTTTCGGTTCTACCCGCTACCCGTTCTCACCCCTAGTTTTTACCAAATAACCATTAACCTAGACTCCTTGCATTTGAGAATTTAGTTAAAACACTTCGGTCACAAAAAAGTTTAAAAGTTAATAAAATATCCTGGACCACCCAAGACTACTACCGGCGACAAACGCTATATTAGCGCACAACCGACAGGATCTGACCGACCGTTCGCCGATCTGGTTGTTTCCAATTAGATCGAAGGTCAGAAACAGTAAGATTGCCATGGATCTAGCCAGAACGGCCAAATGGCTAAAAGCAATCAGATCACGACCAAAGATTTGGCCTTTTCATGGGCAGATCTGTGGTTGTTTCATGGCCAAATCTTTGGTTGTGAAATAGCCTTATCGGCATACGATCAACCAGATGGCTGGTCGTGCTCCATTTTGACGACTACCAGCGACGTCGACAGTGACTTGGGGTGGATGAGGTGATTTTGCTATAAATTAAAGTTTTATATGACTTAGGTGTTTTAGCAAAATTTATAATGTAAGAGTTTAAAAGAAATGATTCAAAAAATAATATTATATTAATATTTTAAAAGAATGACAATTTAGTAATCTATATAATATAGTCACCCATTTACCTCTCAACCAAACATATCTATATAATATACTCACCAATTTATTCTAACCTAACCAAACATACTTCGTTAAACATTTTCAATTATCTTTAAAGTAATCTATATTTCTATTAATAGATATTCCATTAACCAGACACACCTATAAAGACAAAGTTTCTTTGCTAACGGGCCAATTCTTGTGTGCTATCTCTTAAGATAATTGGACTTTTTGGCTTGTCTCTATGTGCAATGTTGGTGGTTTTATCATGTCTTTGCACGATATAAGACCCCAATTTACGGAGAAAATGTGAATGGGCTGTGACCAATTGGGTAGTCTTTTCATTTTAGGGAAGTGAGGTTGAGGGCAAATGTCAATTCGAGACGGTGACTGAAGAATCTTGAACATTGTGAACTGAATTATCATAGGAAATGGTCAGGTCCAGGTATTATCTTCCAAAGCCAAGCCAACCAGGATTACAAATCAATAAGACATCTTATAGCAGAAGATGAAGTGTTAGAGAAATTTGGTCATGAAATAATGTCCAGACAACAGCTCTTTAACGCCGTGACAACCCAACTACTAGGAAGTGACATTAGAAATTAAAATGGCATAAAACCTACAGCTCAGCTAGCATCTTGCTAATGAAATAGGGCCATGACCATGCACATAAATTAAGCTTTGAATGCAATTGTTGAGTTAAAAGAAGTTTACATGGTGATGAGGCACGGTATACTATGTGAAACAATGGTCCTAACAGAAAGACGTGGATAATAAGCAGGCAAAGAATTTGCAAATTCAAAAGGTGATATTAATTTTTCATTGGACAGACCAAACAAACACTGCATGAGACAATTGAAGGATAAAGGAGTAAACGTTTTGACTAGGAAGAGTGTTTTTGTTGGGTTTAACAAAATGTTAATTATATAGTTAGGTTAATCTTCAACTTGAGATTAATTTTGACATTAGGGTGCGCAATGAAAGTCAACAGTATTTGATTTCTAATAAATTTGACTATTTCAGTAAATTAGCAATAAATAAATATCACGTTATTTAAATTATGGTAATAAAAGCCGAATTTATAATTATTTTGAAGAGAAGAAATCTGGAACGTCATTTACACTTTGGACCATGAAATAAACGTAATATGCGGCGACGCACATGGTGTTTGTCCGGATGTATGATGGCGCGACACGTATGCTGTTTGTTGTAAGATCGCGCCTTTTGATGCAGTGTGATGGTGACCGTCAAGTAAGAAATAGAAACGTAGGGTAGACAGAGCATGAGAACACGTGGCTCGAGGTGATGTCAGTTGACGCATCAATTTCCAATATTATTTCTTTTTCATTTTCAAAATTCTCGTCTGATTGTACAATGAAAAAGACTTGGTTCGAAAACTTGTTGATTAAGTAAAGTACTTGGGCAAATTATAACAATAAAGTTCGGTTCACACCCAATCTCACATAATTATCTCAGAACGTGGCAGTTTCTAAGTTCGTTGTTGATAATTTTTGAGAAATTTATCCCAAAAAAACTAGAGCTGTCACCTACATGATGCAAGAGAGAGTTTAGCTTCTAATTGTAATATTATTCTTAAAAGAAAAGATAAAGAATTCAGTCTTACCAATTTTCTTTTCTTAATAAGTTTGGTAATTTTATCTATATGAACTAATCAATTAAAAATTGTTACGTTAAAATTATGGAATTAAATTATAAGTAAAATATTACCTAAAACAAATTTATCAATAAACTTGGGATGGTTGGTAATGAACAAATGTTTCTGCTCAGCCATAGAATCTTAGGAAGAAGGAAAGATAATAAACATGGTACAAATCAAGTATGAGAATGAAAATCAGACACGCAGTGGGCATTACCATCCAACAAAAATCCTTCAATTTTTAGGATTTTTCAAAATCATCTCAACTAATTACCATAATATTTTCTGAAATTTTGTTAAAAAGCGGATTTGAGATAAGATATGAATCTGAAGTGAAAGAAACAGGAAGATAAAGGGCAAACGCAGAGAGGTAGTTTCTTTCTTGCATTTGAAATGGCTTTATTAATTTGACTCCAGAAAATCTGCCAAACCAATATATTCTTTCAACTACTCGTCATGTTGCTCAGTGGGGATGTTGGATTTGAATTTTCACTTTCAAGTTTTTTAACACAACAAACAAGGTTTCTAATTACTTCAAAAATAACAATAATAATTAAATGTGGTTTACAATAGGTCTAACTGTGTTTCTCACAGGAAATTAAATGCTTGCCATCACTTTCTTTAGAAATGCCAAGCATTCCGAATTCTACCAGGACTCAGTAAAGAGTAAGACAAAACTCTTTGATTATATCGATCTTTTGAGCAACCAAAAAACAAAAAAAATTCGTCCAATCAAGAATACGTTTTCGCTTATGGGAAATTTTGTAGATCTCACAACTCTAGTATAACTAATTACCAATTTAGTATTTAAGTATTGTCTTTTCAGTTTAATGATAATCCTATTCAATCTTTTTCTTGTTGGGTCGGTGAGTTTCATATTCTATTTTTTAATCTTTAGAGAAAGATTCCAATCAAAAGTTTAGTTAAATGGGGATTCAAATATCTGAGATCATTGCATAAAAAACGCCATATAATAAAAGTAGTCTCATTAACTAGTAAAATAGATTGGAAATATACACACACCTTAGTCTCATACAATTCCAACATGATAACCAAGGACATACTCAGCCAAATGCTGATTACAATTACATTACAAGCCAAATAAAAAATTGAGCTTACTTCAAACACTAATGGCGGGTGGTAAAAATCCACCTCTGCCACTCCCATCCCCCGCTTTCCAACACAGGAAAGGCAAAAAAGATCCCCCGGAATAATAATAATAAGTGTTCCTTGAACCTGAAACAACAATCAAATTAGCTCAAAATGAAAAAGAGCCATTTTAAAATATGTCCTTTTCATTTTGACCCGACAGGCCCGGCCCAACACCGAGCCCATACACAGTATATTATATATATACCCAAGACCCCTAATATACTAACCCTTCATACTAAAATACTGATTAGTATACTAATATAATAACTTAAAATTCTAAATTCTACCCGACTGCAATTGCTTGACAATGACAAGTTCGTTGTGTTGTCTCTAGCGGAACTGAGCACCAGAGAAAGTCTGGCCAAAGGACCACCCGGCAGGTGCAACATTGTTAGACACCACAGTACCACCATCACTAGTTGTGACTTTAAATGAGAGGGCTTGGCCATTGAGAAGGGTGTTGCTTTGCCAGTTTTGGCCCCAATTTCTTGACATTGGTTGCCAACCAGTCCTTGACCCTTTGATTGAAACGGCATGTACATCACCAGCACCACCAACGTTTGTGATCAACACTAGGTTGAAGTATGAGTGCCCATTGATGGTGAATCTTATGCCTCCCTTTCTCCTGCATGCAACCCTACAAAACCCCACAACAATTAGTAATGATGTTTAAAAATTACTCTTCAAAATTGACATCTTTAAGGTGAAAAACCAGAGAGCTTACCTTCTGTAAGCTACAGGAACAATCCCTGCTTTGTATTGGGCAATGTGTTGGAAGACAGGCTGAGAGAGATCAAAATGCTGCTGAGGAGGGTTGCACCAACCTCCTGCATTGTTAGGGAGCGCATTGTTTGGAGGGCAGAAATTGGTGGCTGTGATGAGAATGGAGCCAGGCAAGCACCATTTGGGGTCACCCACACACTTAATCTCATAGCAAGATCCACAGCTCAACCCATTGTTGAAGAGAGCAGTGCTCAAAGCTGCAGTATTAGTACCATATCCCTGGCTGTATAGGTTTCCATACCCACAAGCCCCACCTGCCAAACCACAAATTTTAGTCAAATTGGCAAAAATCCCTGAGTAGTTTAAGAAGATAAGATTGTTTAACAGCTGCATACCCATAGTCCCTGAAGCATCACCACCTCCATAGAAAGTGGCATGTGCATTAGTCCACCCACCACCTCCAGATGCATTTACGGATGAGACCATTGCTAGTAAACCTACCAAGAAAATCCCAGAAACACCCATATTCCTGCAAAGACAAGTTTACCCTTTTAGCATTTTATGAAGAACATTAGTAACACTAAGCTCAAACTTGTATCATTGTAGTATGTGTTCAATTTCTAACATAAAGCAAATGTAAATGAGAGAGAAGATGATTACATGAAGATATTGGAAACTCAAAAGCAGAGGAAAGAGAGAGAAAGGCAATGTGAGTGAGGAAAATGGGGAGGGGTTGAGGGGGAATTTATAGAATTTTGGAAAGGGGTTAGAGTTAGACCGAGACTATCTTTAACTAACACTTTTAAGCTAGTTGGGTTGGGACCATAAACTAGTAGGGATACATAACAGAATAAATTTTACAGTTTTTGTGAATAAAAACAAGGCACATGTGAACTTGAAAAGCTGTTTCTGGCTAGAACCGCGTGGTTTTGTTACTATCTTAGCGGGAAAATTCCTCTAAATCCAAGTGGGTCATACTGGTTTTGAGTTCCTCGATGACTCATAAACCTCCATGCCCACATCCACATGCAACTTCAATTTGCCGCAATTACCCCATTTCTCACTTTTGTTGGTATCCAACCTTCATTTGAACTCTTTATGACTAAACTCAATTCCACTCATCAACATTTCACATTACTGCCTTAGATTATTCAGCCGTTTACTAGGACTGTAGGGACTGAATTCAATACCAAATCTGCTTTCTGGTAAACGAATTCAATAGGATATTTTGATATATTCATTCTTCTTCGTTGAAAATTCAAAATTCATTCCTTCCCCCTCATTTAATACAATTTTCAACATTGCAAAATTTCAAATTCATCATGAACGTTCAAATTGAAAGCAGAACGAGGGTGATAGCATTTTTTGAGCTACCTAATAATGGAAGAGCATTAAACAATCCCAATTAAATTATTTTCATTATGAACCCATCAAAGATTCAAGTTAGTTGAAGACAAACTCAGACACGTGTGGTTGATGAATATATTACAATACAAAACTACAAAATTAATAAATTATAATTAACATGAAATCTGCATGGATAGTGATAAGTTGGATTATGAATTGATTGGCGAAATAATAGGACCGCGATTCTCGCTATTAGTGTTTAAATTCATCAATCAGCTTAATCAACTAAGAAGAAGAATACAAATTGTTGGTGGAGGAGTGGAGTGTTCTTTGACTTGAACGAATCAATCTCAACACTTTAAATTTAAAACCAAACAATTTTATTACTTATTACCCCACTGGAAAATGCTTGGTTTTTCCAGTGTCTTCTTTTGTATACTGTAATAAAATAAATAAATAAATAAAACGTTAACAACATTTATGATAAAGATATGTGAATAAAATTTTTAACTATTAAAAACAAGAAATTTTTTACCTCTTTTGATGTGGTTATTTGCAGGGGCAGGGTACAGAAGGAGATACTATGGAGTAGGGTGTGTAGCCCCACAAACAGCCAATCCAGGGAGTAGGCGTGGGCTAGTTTGCCCAAAAATCAAGTCAAGCTCGTGCCAACCGAACCCATTTGGCGCCACTCCCTAGAGGGTCAAAGGCAATTTGAACGAAAAGCCTGCCGCAGCTGAAACAATTTAAAAATTTGCAGTATTGTTTTCAAGATAACTAACCGCTTTAACTCCTCAACATAACCAGAATCGCAAGGCGTTGTTGGGGTAAATTAAATTTCACCAAGTGAAACATTCAACAATTTGAATAGTGGGGGAACCTAAATTTTGAAGCTATCCCTCCACCACGACTGTTTATGATTTTCCTTTAAAAGCGATTTAGAATTTTGCTTTGGGCTTTAAAAGCGGTAATGTAGCAGCTGCACATGCAATCCTTTTGGCTGCATTCTTTGTTATTCTTATTTTTTTAATTTTTGTTTGCCGCGGCAGATTCTTCCATACAATGTCAGAAAAATTCAGTTGAACAAAAAGACAACGGAATCCAAGATATATCAGATATCCAAACACATGCAAAAATTACAGTTTTCCCTTTTAATCACATCAATGGTGATTTTCTATTTGGCCCACTCAGATTTTGTTCCCCACGTATCGTTAAAAAAGCTTTTTTTTTTTTTGTTTTTTTTCATTTATAATAATATAAACAACACTTTCATTTTAATTCTTGGTACAGTATTTGATATCAAATGTATTTTTAGAACCTATTTGTAAATAAAGAATTTTAATTAGAAGCATCTAAACCTAGAATCGAAAATTATAATTATGTTAATTAATATGTATACTATACATATATTACAGTATAATATTTATACAAGTAAGGGAGAATTTGGTAATTTGGAAAAGTGTTAAAGATCTTGAATAGAGACCTTCAACGGCCAATAACCAACTTGTCTTTTTAAACTACCGAAGATCCCAACATCCTTTTCAGCCATTCCCTGCTATTTTTTGTCTGCAACTTTAGAATTAAATCTGGACCGTCTATCCTCTCTGGCTACAAGTTGCCGTACTAGATTTTTATTGCTTCTATGTTCGTTCGGAGCTTTCACTGTTGCTAAGGATTCACTGTTCTGCGTTTTGATACTCTGCATCTGCAACTACAAGTCAACACACATACCATCATATCTACTGTTGGCCACTCAACTAACCATAGTTGTGTCATTATTCTGGTTAAGTTAATTCCTCAACCACGGTTACACACATTAATTTTTCTTCTATGTTAAATTTTGAGTGTGACTTGAGAAATAATCAATTTGTAGAAGTTCCTCTAAAACTAATCCTATTCTAAAATTCCAACACCCCTCAAGTCAAATTACCATTACTTAACTAAAAACTCAGAATTAATCACATTTATCGATATCTACAAATTTATCCATAAATTACTATAACTTGGATAAATAGATTATTTTTTTAACTGAAACCCTAAAAATATGTTATTTCATATAACTTTCCTTTAATCAAACTAATAATCCTATAAATAAATTAAGTTAACATTCTTTGGTTCAAAACAATGAATTTATGATATGAGACATATGTTGATATATTATTTATATGAATTTTAATAATAATTGAATGTTGGTCCAATACAGTTTAAGTGCTGATAAAAGAGGGTGGCAGCTCTTTATTATAACTGGACCATAAAGTAATAATAATTAATGTTGTTTTGGTTAAGCCTCTGCTAATCTAAAATGTCGCTTCAACCCCATGTGGTATGTTGTGAAAATGGTGATGATAACATTAATCATGCCTTTGCACACTCACATTCCATTAAGTTGACTATTTATTTCATTTAAAGAAAAATATATTTTAAATTAAAGTAGTGTAATAAGCATGGGACTCTTTAACAGCCGGACAAAGAATAATTAAAGTTTCCCTCCGTTTCTACTTCAACCGCGCGTGCAACTCAAAAATTTATAAATTCATGCTACACCTCATGTTCAAGTTATAGTTTGGCAATCGCTTGAAGAGGCGTGTGGGGGAGGGTAAGGATGGGCGTAATTAAGGGAAGTTTTGCCTTGAAAAGTGAGAGAGAGTATCTTTGTAGTAGATATGCAAAATTCCCATATCTTTTAACAGCCTTTTGGTAGATAACCAAACTACCTCTCTCTCTTTATTATTCCACTGCAACTACCATTTCTTGTTATTATTATACAATCACCATCCTCCGATTTCCTCATCATTTCTCATGTTGTTACCGACACAACTCCTTCTAAACGACTTTTATCAGATTGATTGACACTGTCAAATTACTTTTACACGCGTGCAATTTCCAGTTAATTATGATTAAGCCCTAATTGGGACAGCCATTGATTATTTTACACCAGGATTTTTAACTTTAACAAAATAAAAATGATGTGATTGATAACCAGATTAGTTAAAAAGTAATGGGTGATTTGGAGATACAGATTTTGTTCACTATCAAAAGATATCATAAAAATGGTTACTATTATTTATTATCTTCAAATCATTTGGTCAACCTTTCACCACATAATCCATGTTACTCCATTCAATATTGACAACGACATTGCTCTCAATCTGAATCACTTACATATATATTTAATATTTTCAATTTTGCTTTTTTTTTTTTAATTTAATAACCACCCACCAGAGAGACAGAGATTATATATATGGCCCATGGACCATATATACCCACTTTGTAAACTGTAATCGTGACATGCCTTGGCCATGCACATTTTGTGATGGATTTCAGAATAATTGGGTGTATTTGGTTTATTATTTTGGGTAAGATTTTAAGGATAGTATTGGATAGTTGGATAGGGGAGTATTACGAGTTAAAATTTAAAAATTTATGAAAAAGTCCCAAGGTTTGCTACTTTAATAAACACCCTAATATATTAAAATATTGTAAAATGACAAAAACATCCCTACCACCCGCAATGCCAGATTCGGGCCACCACTGCCAGAATCTGGTCGGAAAATTGGATAACCACACATACCGGTCGGATCTAGCGGGTATTCGATCGATATGGCCTTTTTCGGCCAAATCCACCACGGATCTGGTCGGAAAATGCCAGATCTGGCCATTATAGGCCATTTCCGGTGGTCGTGTGACTGTTGTGATAGATTTAGACTACCACCGGCGGTGCTTGCCAGAATCTGGCAAGTATTGGTGGATGGGGGTGTTTTTGTTAGTTTTTACTTTTTTCTGGGGGGTATTTAATGAAATTAATAAACTTGTGGGGTCTAAAAGTAATTAAAAAAATAGACTAATATTTTGAGAATTACGTGTCAAACAACATTTGAAGAATAGGATTGGGAATATGGATAAAAACAATAAGCCAAATGCACCCTTGAAGCTTCGTAATTTGAACTACCATTGTGTCCCACAGATAGATAAATTATCCCAATTTTTTTACATATTTAAAGACTATTCATGAATGTAACATTAAAAAAATTTCCACTAAAAACAAAACACCTAATATTATTCATAGATATAAAGCTAACTGGATGGTTTGGCGGTTAACGAGGTTTGCTTTCTTTCATGAGATCTTGGGTTTAAACTTTGAAGTCATCTATCACAATAACAATGTGGTTTGCCTACTTGATTCTTTGGGTTTCATAGGGTGTTCAATGGACTCCGGAGATTAGTTAAGGTGTACACAAGCTGGCTTGGACCCTGAAAATTAGTTGATATACGTACAAACTGACCCAGACATTTTGGTTATAACACATAATATTATTTTCATAGCATATTCATTTAAAACATTACACACCTGTCTCTCATTTCCAAAATTCCAATCATATAGTTGAAAAGTCCTATGCATTTTAAACGATTTACTGGTTTGGTGTTGA